TGTCACCAAAGGTTAAATACAGAATCAAATGTTATATAACTTTGTAGAAATACAATACTACATTTCTGTAAAAGTAAATTAATATAAGCACTCAAATGTAGGGAATTTTAGAGCTTATCTTAAGATTTTGTCTGAACAGAGGGATAACACACTAAGTAGGAGTTGCCAGTCTTAAAGAGTAACTCCACTTTACATCTTGTGAGGAGAAAAAGCATCGCTAATGATGGTGATGATGAAAAGGATATATGTATATATCGACAATCTAAAATGCCATCTAGGTTAGGCCACTTTGAGTTACTAACAACTTTCTTACACTGTCAATTAGCCACTGCCTTAATTATACAGTATAAAGAAATCAATTGCTAAAGGATTTTTGTTAAAGCAGGTGAAAGGTCAGAAAAAGTTGTAAATGTTATTCTTTCTACCGTCATTAACATTAAATACTGTTTTTTTAAAGGCAGTTTTCTACAGCACAATATTTTTTACAGTGAAACAGATGTCTTAAACACAGACTCTGCTAAAACATTTCAAATGTAGTTAATGCCTTTTCGTTATACGGCAGCACTGACCTCGATTGGTTAACGGTTCAAGTCTTGAGTAGTTGACCACTCGCCGTTATTAGCCGCTGCTATTTGCCTGCGTGCAGTTACTGTTTAAGCAGTAACTCTGCAGGGAACTATTTGAATGAGCTCTCAAGAACAGAATGAGGCCAACAAGATGAGGTCATGAACACACACAGCTTAACGTGAAGCAGATTGAGATCGAAAATCAGCTGTGAAGCTGTGGCTCTATTGTGTCTACACAGCAAACAAGATCAATGTTTAATTTCTAGACTTTTATTTTCAAGGGTCTACAAAGGGTCGCTCACCCAACCTTTTTTTAGCAAGTGATTTCTTCGCATTTTGCGAAGGTGGTTAGCTTTCAGTACTTTTTTAAAAGTTGCTTCACTGAGTGAGTTCAAAGAGAGGAAGGGGAGGAAGGGGAGGAGTGTGCTGGTGAGTTAGCAGTTATAGGCTGGTTATCAGGCCAGTGTGTCACATCGGGGTGTCCAGGGGCACAGAAGAGGGAAGTGAGCCGCAGCAAAGAGGCCAGCGGCACAAAACACTGGCCAAACACAGGAAATGCTCATCTCACATCTTCAAAAGCTCTGTCCATTTTATGCATTTGCCCTCACAGCACTAGATACTGTAATTCGTTTCTGATTCTCAACATTTTGAAGTATTTCCTTGCAGTTTCCTTCCATAGCTTTCCTTTTTTTCCCCTCTCTTCTTTTTGCTAGAGAACCGGGTGGGAGGGGGTCTGTTGGCATTCTTGCACCGTGTGCTTTGTGCTCGACCGGGCCTTGGCGGCGGTCCATATCCCCTCTCTACCCTCTCTCGCTTCTCTGCCTCCTCCTCCCCACTAAACACCCTTCCCCCCTCTTCAACCTCTTCAACTCCCCTTAGTTGTTTCCCTAACCGCTGCTCCTGCCAGCAACTATGTGCTCTTTAAGAGCCCCCACCCTCACTCACTTCTCTTGCTATCACCTTCCCTAACACTTCCTCATGTTTCTCCCATAATTCATTGCTCCCTTCACTTCCCCTCTTCCTTTTCCATCCTTCTTCCATCCCAGCCCGTGGCAGCAGGTCCAGCCTCTGTGACACAGATGCACCCAGTTGCTCTGGGCGCTCGACATGGGAACAAAGCATTGGAGGGGCCCGTCTGTTACAGTGTGTGTCAGGGTGTGTGTCAGGGTGTGTGTGTGTGTGTGTGTGTGTGTGTGTGTGTGTGTGTGTGTGTGTGTGTGTGTGTGTGTGTGTGTGTGTGTGTGTGTGTGTGCACATAAGTGAGAGAGAGGGATGAGACAGAAAGCTGGGATGGTACACAGCCAGATACTAAATCTGATTTTATGAGTTTGTTCAAGCTTAACTTTCTCTTTTACATACATGTCTTTCTTGCTGTGTTATGCAGTATCTTTATTCACAGTCGCATATGCTGAGATAAAGTTAAACATGCTCTCACCGACTGGTATGTTTTACATGTTTTCCTTTGAGATATTTTGAGTTAATGTGGCACATGTGTTTGGACCCCTCATAACATGTGTGTGTCAGCGTGGATGATGTCACTCGTGTATGAGGTCAACATTTGTTTGAGAGAGCTTTGCCACGTCAATTGATCCATCTAGTCTATTCAGGGTTGGTTTGCCCAGGCTCTATCCTTCTCTAGATAGTTGCTATCGTCTCCATCAGCACAGCTACGGTAGCCATCTGGGAACTTGGAGATTGTGGACCTCGAGGTCATATATGTGGATTGGAGTTTCAGTTCATACTTTCAAATGTATTTGCAGACACACAATAAGCACACACAGAAAAGCGGAAAGAGCAGCAGACACTGACATTTGTATATTTCGAACATTTTTCCTGTTAGAACTAGCCCCAATTGTCACCTGCTCCCTTTACCTATATATTTTTTCATTATAGGGATTTCGGTGGGGATGGGAGGGCAGGCAGGAGAGAGAAATTAGATGCTTCAACACTCCACTGCCCTCCTCTCTCCATCCAACTCCCCCACACACCTGGGATGGCCATTTCATTTCAGAGTGCAGCAAATGGAAAGGTGATCTTAATCTACCCAGTTTCCCTCTAACCCCCTCCCTCTCTCCATTTCCCACACACAGAGGCTCCTGATGGACAGCACACTGCTGGTCGCCTAAGCCTGCCGACAGCAGAACATATTTAGTGATAGAGGTTACACATTGGTTTATTACCTCTTCATTTCAAACTAAATCTTTGTCCATATTGTTATCATTTTAATTTGAGACCATGAAATACGAACTGGCAGACATGTTCCTTTCATGGACACAAAAGCAGTTGACACATGACTTTGGTTGAAGTGTTTCGACATGACCTGTTTGACATGCTGAGCCCCTCTGTGGGCTCATTACTCAGTGTTAGGTCTCTCTCTGCTGTTAGCTCTTTGGTCATTACAGTCACAAGCACATATATGCAATGGCCATTGATTTCCAATGAATGGCTTTCTGCAGGCCAGTTCCTTAAGAAGGTGATCACACACCACTGGATTAAATGGACACCTTGGGAAAGGTTGTTGCTTTCAGAAATGAGCGATTCTGAATGTGCCGCTGCGTGCAACGTTGACGTGTTATGATTTAATTTGAAGGGAGTGTGCACATTAAGCAGAAACAACAAATAAGTTTGAATGAGGTAAACTTTTTGTGAGGCTCCAAAAGAACGTTGTGCCAAAGTGAAATTAACCCCGTGAGAAAAATATTGATTTTAACTGATAACTCCTTTTTGTAAAAACATTAAAAGAATTCTGAGAGGGAGAATTTTTCTCTGGCAGAATGATGGTCAGCTTGAGGAAAACAAACCTCACTTTCTGCCTCCTCTCATTTCTTCTCCTCACCACATGGCTTGAGGCTGGACTGAAGCTGCAGCTCCACCCGCCCCAGCTGTTACTATGGCAACACTATCTGGGCCTACCAAGACCTGGAGCCGAAGGACATCCTGGACAACAATACAATATCAGCACAGCCAGGGTACCTGAGGGACTTAGACCTGAGAGGAGAGATCTGGGGGGTTGCAGATTGAGAGAGTAAATCCTCCCTCTTTCTCTGCCTCCCTCGCACACAAACAGTCAGGATTAGCCTTTTGCTTGAGAATCGAGGTAGTGGAACAATATGTGATTTTAAATTGTTTTTTTCATGCAATTAGGGTTCAAGGCTTTTATTGTCATTTGTACATAGCTACAGTGTAGTTATGCCAATGAAAACCTTAGGTCAAAGGCTCTTCCAACAGTCCAATACAATAAAACAGATAAATAGTGCAAGTAAATAAAATAAAATAGAATATAATAGAAATAGTGCAGAATAGTCTATATAAAAGTAATTGGAATATTGATATATATAAGCTGCAAACAGATGAATTTTATGGATGTTTTTTCAAAAGTTCATGTGTGTCGTATGGCCTGTGGGATGAAACTGTCCCTTAGTCTGGTGACAATTTTATTAATAAAATCACAAAAAAAATATTCTCTATCTTGTGTGGATGAAAAATCATGATAATTCACCAGGCCTCACGGATACTCAGATGATTAGTACAGTTTGATGGAAAAAGAGTAATTTGTGATTTTTTTTTCCCGCACAAGAATGGTCATGGTGGCTGTGGTGCTGCTAGTTTCCAGGATTGGGCCACACATCCTGCTGCTGGTGCCAGCAGTGCAGAGTAATAGAGATGTTTAGAGACTATTTGCCTTGCTTACATTCCTCCATGCACTGCTGCTAAAATAATAAGAGAAAAGGTTACCTCAGGTCGGCCCCGACTGAGGGATACGGAACATGCATTGTTGTCATTGGCTCCATCCGAGTATCCCTCTTAAAGCCACAGCACGGAGCTGAGGAGACGGGCACTGCTGCCTCCTTTGCATAGGCACAGTGTTCAGAGGTTGCAGAGGGAAGGATGGATGTATAGATGTACCAATAAGTGTGTTTTGTGTGTGTTTGTATGTAAATGTAGTTCTCCAAAGAAATATATAATCCCTGGGGTTAACGTGTAACATTTTTATTTCCAAGTATCAATTATTGTTTTTTATGTCAATGGTTAAGGAGAACATGTTGTGTGGCTGTGCTGTTGAGTAACTATATATCAAAGTAAATATTTGTAATCCACTGAAGTGTTAAGAGGATTTTAGTCAGCATTATAAATAGACAGCATTATAAAAGTGTTATTAGTCCTGCTGCAGCCCACCAGGCAATTTAATTTTTGTTTTTACAGAGAAGACTGAATCATGCTGTGCATTGACTGAGTTTACACAGTTTGTGAGCATGTTTTTCCCATCAGCTTCTGATGGTTTTTGAAATATGAATTGTGTCTATTTAAAATGTGTTTTTCTCTCCGTGGGTGTAGGCACAACATCATAGATGTCCATGTGTGAATAACTGAGTGTGGGACCTGCTTAGTCATGCTAAAACACCCGTCTTACACCTCCTCTGTTTCCTTTTGCAGGCAGCCTAAGAAACAGGATGTTAATGCTTGACGGAATGCCTGCAGTGCGAGTCAAATCTGAGCCCCTGGACTCGGAACAAGGGGTAAGAGAGCAGTTGTTTTCCAGACAATTCCTTTTTTTTTTTTTCTGCTTTCCTTTCCGTCTTTCCTCCTCCTGGCAATGGGTTCATAATTACTCCCAGGCCTAAGTGAGTGAGAGAGTGAGTGTGGGGGCTAAGAGGAGTGGTCGGAGAGCATGGTAGTAAGCAGGAAGAGGAGAAGAGGAGGAGAGCCACAGCTGGAGCAGGAATGCACTTGGGTCTTCTCCCCTTCACAATTATCACAGATCACCATCCTTTTTTGGGTCTGCGATGACGGGGGCCAGCAGGGAGTCCGTGCTGGCTGGGGGTGATTGCACATATGTAGTCACTGCTCCGGGGAGGAGGGTCACATGGGAAAATCTAAATCGTATCCATCTCTGTGTGTTCCTGCTCCTAACGTCTCTCAATTTCCCTTCCCTTCCTTCTCACAAACACACATGATTAATTTATCTTGCTCACACAAACACAAGACAGATGCAACAAAATACTCTTTCTCGGCAAACACTTATCAAAGCTTTTTTCTACACTACCCCATGCATGCCTTTACTCTTTAACATTGTCACATCTGTGTCTATATCTTAATGTGCATTTATCACAGGGGGGAAGTTAAATGTCATCACAAAAATTCTGTGCGATGTGAATATGAACCAGAAATGTTAAGTCTTTGAATTTATTTTCTTAAATATTCACAATTTTTATGTAATTTTCGAGTTTTATGTTCGAATGGATTTTGCTAATTGACCATGTTAGCACTAATGCATTCACCTCATGCAAGGTTTCAAGGGCCCACATACAGTACCAGTGCTCTCTCGTCCAACATACCTAGAAATAAAGTGGTCTTGTTATGGAGAAGCTGTTGCTAGGTTACAACGGGCTTTGTGTCGCTGCCACAGCTCTGTGTGCAGTGTGTGCAGGCCACTTAATATTTGTAATCATGATGAATTAGTGTTGTGATATTATTGATTTCCACTCATAACATATCAATAATTTCCTGCCTCCTAATATATCACCAAGAGCATTCGGTGGCAGAGGAGCAACATTTTTTCTTCTTCTGTTGAGACGAAACAGAGAGCATAATCCGATGATGGATGAGGGAAATACCAGCTGCTGATAGCCCATCAGGCTTCCTCAGTGGAGAATTGTTTGGCTGTGTAGGTGCTTTGTATTGATAAGAATCAGATCTGTCTCTCCACGTCTGAGGTTTTGACAAGAGGCAGCAGGTGGTCACATTCTGGGTGTCCCGCTCTCAGCTGTGGCTCAAGGGTTTGAGAGCTGTGCTCCCGAAATGCTACCTATTACCTGGGGTTTTGAAGTCTATCTCCATACGTGCAGTGATGTCAGTCAAAGACAGGATGTGAGCAGTGCAGCCCACACAGCTTTGAAGTGCACCGAGATCCAATCTTCCCCTAACACTCTTTGCTTCCCTTTACTCCAGACTCACAGACAGACAGTTTAGGCTGCTGCAGAAATGTGGTCTTCATTTGGGTGGCGGGGGGCCAAGGGCTTGCTGGAAATGGTCTGCCTTGTTAGACAATTCGCCAGCAAGAGGCTGGAAAATCTGCCCCGCTAACCAGTATCCCCTAATAAAGACAATGGCATGAGGACAGAGGCAGGCGGGTCGAGCATATCTGTATGTGTGTGTCAGCGTGTGTGAGGATGTGTAGGTTTGAGTGTATGCATGTGTTTGTATCTGTCAGAATGAGAGAAGGGGGCGGCTACAGCTTTCCATTTGGGCTGGTTGAGATGTTCCTGAGAACCGAAATCAAATTTCAGTTTTTTGTAACACTATACTCTCTGTTGTTTTGACCTTTCCACATAAGTTCTCCTTTTTACACAGGAGCAACACAGGATTTGCCTAAGTTGAACAGGTTGTCATAAACTACTCCATCAAACAGAAAGGCTACAATCAAAGTGAGCCTAACACTTTTGAATAATGACATAGCACATTCCTTTATATGCGAATGCAAAGTTAAATTCAGTCCTCTCGAGTGCTTTGCCACTTATTATTGGTTGGGTATTAGGGCTGTCACTTTTTCAAAGAAAGAATCAAACTAACATAACATTTGTTCAAATTAATTGAACACAGCCTGTGTTGCTCAAAATAAACTACAATAGAGAATTGATGTTTCGATGTGTCTCCACTGCTTCATTGGAGTGACAAGCTAACATTACAGTAAAGTAGTTGCATTTTCAGGAGCAAACAGCCTTACTCCTAGTCTTCATTTTTCCATCAATGCTATCAGATGGTGACTAAATTGTGGCTATTGGCTAACGCTCCATAACATTGTGATGGCTAAGAGGCGGGACATCTCCAAGCGGTTGACCAATCACATCAGAGCTGAACAGCTAACCAATCAGAGCAGACTGGGGTGTGCTGTAGCAGTAGGAGAAAAATAAAGGCCTTTTTGAACATTAAAGCAGGAAAACATGCCTCAGTAACAAAATAAACATTTGAACCTGACAATAAGAATATAATGTCCTTTAACCTTCAGTAACAACTGCATCACACGCTTGATGTCTTATACTCAATTATTCTCAATCAAGTAGGCCTAGGTGCCAATAATAACAACTGCAAGACACTGTTGGGTTATTCTATAATGTGTTTTTGCACCTCTCAGCTAACAGTCTGTTATTTGTAGCTGACTGTTTGCTGCATTACAATAGTATGCCACTCATGATGACATTTCTGTGTGCCTTATTACCAGTCGTGACAGCAAGAAGATATTGCTTTGACTTGTATATGTGTCATCATGCAAACTGTTGTCCTGAGACCCTTTCTGTTGCAGGAAGTACCACAGAAGCAGTTTTCAGTTATTTTTCTATCAGTGGACAGATTTTTTTCACCACTATAGCGTTAAAACCATGCAAGATGCTGTCACAAAAATGTAAACAGAATAGCTTCAAACATGGCTTAGCCAATCACATTTTAGAATTGCAACAACATATCTCTTTTGTTAATCATAAAATAGTACTAAACAGCATTCAGACTCCACTTGTGATTGGCACAAATATCTTTTTTTCAGTTCCTCTCTTTCCTGTTATAGGGAGAACTGGCAATCCTGCAGAAATTCAAAGCCAACTACACACTCTAAGAGCACTTAGTACGAAAGACAAGATTTCTACACTGAGATCAGCCTCAATAGATGTAATGACTTCAAAGCCTTGAGGCAGTTTAGCTCCAGGCGGTCCGTGACACTCACATCCTATAGGAGCATGCAAACACAGAGAGACCCGTGCTAAAGCAGCTGGATGATGGCCTGAGGGTCTGTCAAGAAAGGCTACATGTTGAGTTGATGCGGGAGTTGATGCATGAGATGTAGAGCCACATTTGACATCACAACATGCATTTTATTTTTAATTAAGTGATATATCTTTTGAAATATTTCTCCTTCATACCTTTGAAAGGAGGTAGCAATAAATATCAAATGAGCAATTAGATAGATAGATTTTTTTGCTCATAAAGGAATAGACTAAACCATCCTTTTACTGTTATATTTTATGTTTACAAACCATTGATCAGAGTATTTTGTAGGGGGACATAGAGTATAAAATTTAATTAATGCAAATAAACTACTTCTACTAATAATCATAATTATAATCAATTCAATAATATAAATACTATATTATATTATTATAATATAGTTGTAATATAGTCAAGACAAAACATGCTTATTACATGCTCAAAAACTGATATTTCTTAAATCTGTATTCAAATGTAGTTCCCTCTGTCAGCAATGTATCAACAACTACACACACATTTCTATCAGTATTTCTCTGTGTTGTGGTTGACATGATGATGACTGTTAGGAGTTAAGGGGAGAGGCTGAGCATCACCATGACATGTGCAAATTGACATACAAATGAATAAAAGGGGAAAAAATGCTCCATGTTTTTTAGGCTGTAAACTTGAACTGTTATGTAAGCCAACTAGACAGACAGTTTATCACTCTTCCTCCTGTACATTAGCAGATAAAAGGCATAAAATACTTGAATGAATGGTAAATAAAGAATGCTGGAAATAACTGCATCTCCATTAGCCTATATGCTATGCAGAGACTGCCTTCTTCATGTCGTGAATTGCAGCTGATGTTTTAATATGGCAATTGGCAATTTGACTTATACAACATTCGCAAGTTGTACATTTGACTCATACAATAACCCACCTTCGAGTTATGCTCTAATTTCTTCATGTTTAGTTTTTTTCCCCTCTTGCTTGCGCCGGACTGAAACTGTCTTTTCACCTGCACTAGTGGCCGTATCAAAGGCGTGATTGGTCAGATGTCGATTCATTGCAACGGTGTCGGGTTACAGACGTGCTCCCCTTGTCACCTCTCTCTCACTCTTGCGGGGGGTGCGCGGAGAACTGAGCGGAGAACTGAGCGGAGAACTGCGCACAGGAGCTGAGGCCCTCTGGGCGGGGCCCCCTGCGCAAGGCGGGGCCCCATGCAGCCTGCGTGATTGGCCTGTAGGGAGGGCGGCCCTGCTCACGAACATTAATAAACATCTTATCCAAGTTTCACACTGGAGTTAATTAGCTTTGTTCAGTTGTGATACTTAAGACGGTTTAAATTCTCATGGTATGTAAAACAAATAGCATTGTGGGTGGTATTATGCACTGTGAACTCTAACCTTGACACGGCTGACCCTGAGCTGAACCCTAAATGTCCAAATGTCATCCGAGGGCATATTTTATGGGGTAGGGTTTGTTTTCCAACTGAGGAGGAGTTACAAAGGGAGAAGCACTTTTTGATTCATGGGGTCGAAACATTTCCTTTAGGCCAAAAACGAGTATACAAGTCTGGAGTAAAAATAGCAGGCTACTACATAAAATAACACACTCACACACACCACACAGAAAGGTTCGTAACTCACCACAGATCCACTCTCAGCCAGCATTACATAAGCGGAAAGAAATGTGAGTCTCAAAAAACAAAAGTGTGGATGAAAATCCATGGAACATTTTTCATATCTGCTATGTGGTTTCAAGTTGTTCCCTTTAGTTTAATAAGCTTTTCCTGTATGATTAGTAAAAAGTCCTGGATGTACTCACTGCCTGATGGCCTAAGCTGTGACTCAGCCTCTGAAAGGCTCCAGTGTGAGGATCAACACCACACTCTCTAGGACCCGTCCCAAATAAAATAGTGAGTCTAGATCTGCACAAGCACATCTTAAATGGTTCATTCTGACAACAACCATTATGATATGAAAGAGTTTGGAAAAACACAACTAGTAGCATAGTGTTGTCTTTCTACTGTCTATGTTTTTCATTATCTTTTCCAAGTAAACAGTTTCCTGAAACTTGTGCAGACAGATGGGGCGGTTGTGTTTCAGTCTGCTTGGTGTTAGGTGAAAGATGTGCTGAGGGATACTCTGAGCCACCAGCGTTGGCCTTAGGAGGCCCATCAGTGAGAGACAGGGAGACGGTCAGGAAATTGAGCCCATATGATGTTTTTCCACCGTCACAAAGGAGATTTAGGAGAGATATAAGGGGAGCCAAGAGAGCTGATTTTTCTGTGGGAGTGATGGAAAACAGGAGGAACAGAAAGAGATGGAGAGGGAGGGAGAGAGATAGAGAAACCCACGCCAAGAGAAAAGAAAGACAGAAAGTAGACGATGAGCGGAGGCGAGTGTGAGAGACACTACTCCTCCTGCGTTTCATCTGTGAGTGACATCATCATAACCAAGAAGGAGTTGAATGCTTGAATGAACATGAGGATATTAATTGCTCTTTTCTCAATAAAAGTCACTTCACATACCTTTCTAACATATCACTAGCAGGCAGCATTATGGTTTCTGAAGCTCAATACTTGTACAAAAATAATTATCATTCAAGTGAATTCATTAACATATCACTTTCTGGCCTGACTTATTAAAGAGAGAATTGTTACAACAGTAGTAATATGGGTAAGACTTTTATATTAAGGTACACAAATTAACCATCAACTAGTTGTTAATTAACATGCATATTAGCAGTATATTGGCTCTTTATTAGTCATTATAAAACACTTATTAATGCCTTATTCTACATGACCATATTCTACAAGTAATAAGCCATTAGTTGAGAGTTTTTCCTCAATAACCCTCTAATTAGTGCTTATTTGTTGCAAGTAAGGAAGTTGTTGTAAATCACTTTTGGTCTTAATATGCTCTGCTCAATATGGGCCTAATAAGGCAGTAGTACCACAAGAATAGTAATTCTCCCATAATAACACTTAACAAATATGATCTATTCTTATGTAACAAGATTAAACTATAAGTGTTAATTGTGTCTAAATAACTCAAAATTAGTTATTTATATCTAAGAAAATGTTCCCTATTTGTGTGGTACTACTGCCTTATTAGGCCCATATTGAGCAGAGCATATTAAGACCAAAACTCATGTACAACAACTTCCTTACTTGCAACAAATAAGCCCTAATTAGAGGGTTATTGAGGAAAAACTCTCAACTAATGGCCTAGTACTGGGAGAATATGGTCATGTAGAATATATATATATATATATACTGCTAATATGCATTTTATTTAAGAAATAGTTGATGGTGAATTTGTGTACCTTAATATAAAGTGTTACCGTAGGGCTCAACGCTAACTTTGAAAAGTGGTTGCCAGGGAATCAGCTTTTGGTTGCCAAAACTGAAAATACGGTTGCCATTTTTAGTCACCTTATATTTTAAATAATTAAGATACTATACAGTTATACATCAACTTAATAATGAACATGTGACACAAAATAATGTTCAAATGCTTTAACATAAGTAATTAACACAATTATTTGAAACTTAAGTGGTAGTAAACTTGTCCACCCTCACGCTGGTATACAAAATACCAGTAGTGCAGCTGTTGTCATGTTCTTCACAGATCCCTCACAAATGAATTGAGCAAGGCACTAGTTTCTTGGTCATCCGTTGTCTCCCTTTCAAATTTGGGTTTTCTTGACCTTTGTGCTGATCCCCACCATAGATCCATTGGCCCTTCAGCATTGAAGTCTTGGATTGGCCAGACTAATACATTTCAAATGTTAAATAAATGAAAACCATTCACAGCTAAGAATTAGATATTAATTATTAATGCTGTAAATTACCTTTAATATTTCTAACTATATTTAACATTTGTTACCTTTTTATAGAAGTGATTATCATTGTATGCCAATATTTTCCTATGGTAAAGTTTCTTTTTGCACTTTTATTTTGGTAGTAATAAGATCGGGACTCTTATTTTGAAGGAACTTTTACCGGAAGTGAATGGACAACATTTCTCTTTGCTTTTTGTTCGGGTTTACCTTACGCTTCATCAGTTGAATCACTTTGAACATTCGTTTGAGATGTTGACGGGCTGGCCGAACTTTTTAACCCACAGTCAAACAACTTAATTTGCTTCGCCATTTTTTGTAAAACAAACACACGGTGCACCGCGCACGCGAGTAAACGTACATCGCTGTCTGGCTCCGTAATCACACCAATGCACGTGCAACTTAAGTGTCAGGTTCC